CCCCTTCTCTTCTCTGAATTGGTGACTTCCCCAACCTCTTGCCCCTCCCTTTCTCATGCCATAGTTCTCTTTCCCGCCAAGCAATTCATGGCTCTTGCCCTGCCTCCTGGCGATTCCTGAATTGCGCCATGGGGACGCCATGGCCTCAAGGCGAAAAGCATCGCGAGGTAGGTGATGTGAGCTACTGCTATGAACCTATCACAATTCGGAGCCCTTTGATGCTTCGGCAACTGCTTTGCTTACACAAAACCTAATTGATAGCTTCATAATAATTGCCACGGTTAACTAAGAAAGCCCATATAACTAACATAGAAATGCCAACCATTGGCAAATTAGTGAAGTCCTCACTCCTCACGTACAAGGTATAGCCATATAGGTACTCGTTACGCACCAAGAAAGACCATATGACTAACATAGAAATGACAACCATTGGCAAATTAGTGAAGTCCTCACTCCTAAGTCCTAACGTACAAGATATAGCCATATAGGTACTCATTATGCACCTTGTTAGTTCACTGCTATAAAAATATATTTATGTTATTTTGTTACTACTGTTTAACATAGGTAGTTGAACATCATGATGGAGATATCACGGACCATGACAATCACTCACCAGAAGGCGAGACATCTGTTGAAGTGGTAATAGTTAACTTTTGGTACTAGAAAATTGATATGCTAGTTTGTTTCAATATCAAATTTGAGTGTATATATGCTGTTTTTCCATGTCAGCCTGACATTAAAGCTGGGACTGGAGATGATGAACCACCGGTGGAGACATCTGCAGTACCTACCGAGGAGCAGGTGGTGTAGTAACTGCTTTGCAGCTGACTCATGTCACTGAACTTGTTTAATATTTGCTATTGTGATGTCTTGTCTAGATTTCTGATGTCCTGTAACTAATAAGCTATATCCAAAACTGCACTTGCTTGTCTTTTCACATTGTCGTTGTCCTTATCTCCCATTATATTCGGTTAAGGATGGTCAAATTTTTGTGTGGACGTTATATTTTTATTACTTATATACAATTATTATGATACCCAGAATATATTGTACAATTTTTGTTGATCTCTTGGGAATGCAGTTCCAATTTCAAGTTATGAAGCATTGTTGTATGTTTTGCAGGACCCTACTTCTGTCAACTCTGAAGGTTTGTCAAAGGCGGAATTGGGTCGTCTGGTAGCTTCTCGCTGGACTGGAGAAAATGTAGATGATGTTGGTAAAAGCGATAAAAAGGGCCATGAGGATGAGCTGGATATTCCAGAACCTGCAGAAGAAGCATTTGAAGATGAGCATGATATACCAGAACCCGTAGAAGAAAATTATGCTGGCTATCATTCAGAAGTTGAGGATGATAGGCACAAATTTGAAGACGAAGAGTTGTCTAATGTATCAGATGATGAATATGTTGATGATCATGAAGAACCGGATGTGTCCTATAAATCTGATGACGACCGGAAAGGTGATGACCATTCAGGTATAGTGTGCTTATATGACAACAATAATTCCGTTCCTACTGTATGTGGTTACTGATTATCCTATTGTATGTGTATTTATTATTTATTTGATTTGTTCCTTCCTTCAGATTTAACTGCCTCAGGACAAGCATCATGGCTGGACAAGATTCAGCAAACTGTACAGAATGTTTTACAGAAATTCAACTTTTTCAAGACCCCTGTTGATTTATCAGGTCAGTCGTACATACTACTTCTGTTGATTCTTCATGATTTATATGAGTATGTGCTAACGCTTACACATTTATGATTTTAGAGGCTGCTCATGTTCGGAAGGAGTACGATGATGCTAGCTCAAAGCTGTCCAAAATTCAATCTAGGATAACCTCTCTGACAGATAAGCTAAAGCAAGACTTTGGTAAGTTAATTGAAACTTTGTCTCCGCGTTGAGTGCATCACCCACTTGTATATTTTGCAGCTATTAGTTTTGTTAGGGATTTTTTATCAAATGTTGTGTTTTGGGTTGATGAAACTACTTCTTAAGCCATCCAGTAAATGGTAATGAGAACTGTGCTAACATGGTTCCTAAGCAAGAACACACTACAACAACAAAAAACAACAGCAATAACAAAGCCTTTAGTCCCGAACAAGTTCTGGCACATGGACAAGAGGTGAAACCCATAAGATCTCGCAACCAACTCATGGTTCTGGCACATGGATATCAAGCTTCCACGCACCCCTGTCCATGGCTAGTTCTCTGGAGGTACTCCAGTCCTTAGATCTCTCTTTACGGATTCCTCCCATGTCAGTCTACCCCGACCTCTCTTGACATTATCAGCACGCTTTAGCCGTCCGCTATGCACTGACGCTTCTGGAGGCCCGTGTTGAATATGCCCAAACCATCTTAGACGATGTTGGACAAGCTTCTCTTCAGTCGGTGCTACCCCAACTCTATCTCGTATATCATCATTACGGACTAGGTCCTTCCTTGTGTGGCCACACATCCATCTCAACATGCGCATCTCCGCCACACCTAACTGTTGAACATGTCGCCTTTTAGTCGGCCAACACTTAGCGCCATACAACATTGCAGGTCGAACCGCCGTCCTATAGAACTTGACTTTTAGCTTTTGTGGCTCTCTCTTGTCACAGAGAATGCTCGAAGCTTGGTGCCACTTAATCCATCCGGCTTTGATTCGATGGTTCACATCTTCATTGATATCCCCATCCTTCTATAACATTGACCCCAAATATTGAAAGTTGTCCTTCTGAGGCACCACCTGCCCATCCAGGCTAACCTCCTCCTCCTCGTGCCTAGTAGTACTGAAACCGCACCTCATGTACTTGGTTTTAGTTCTACTAAGTTTAAAACCTTTTGATTTCAAGGTTTATCTCCATAGCTCCAACTTCCTATTGACCCCCATCCGACTATCATCGACTAGCACCACATCATCCGCAAAGAGCATACACCATGGGATATCTCCTTGTATATCCCTTGTGACCTCATCCATCACCAAAGCAAAAGGATAAGGGCTCAAAGCTGACCCCTGGTGCAGTCCTATTTTAATCGGCAAGTCATCAGTGTCGCCATCACTTGTTCGAACACTTGTCATAACATTATCGTACATGTCCTTGATGAGGGCAATGTACTTTGCTGTGACTTTGTATTTCTCCAAGGCCCACCACATGACATTCCGCGGTATCTTATCGTAGGCCTTCTTCAAGTCAATGAACACCATATGCAGGTCCTTCTTTTGCTCCCTATATCTCTCCATGAGTTGTCGTACCAAGACAATGGCTTCCATGGTCGACCTCGCAAGCATGAAACCAAACTGATTTTCGAGCGGCGAATTTGTTGAAGTTCCGTAAAATAAGCTGTTCCTTAAAATGGCCAAAAATAACTTAGAGAGTCATTTACAGGATAGTGTAGTCCAACCATAGATAAAGAACATCCCGTTGTATGTTTCTTTCATATATCTTTTTGGTTTTATTTCTAGCCGAATCTACATAGTTTGCATTTCGGTCTGTGGTACTTAAAATACATTTCCAACTATTTGAGGCTTCATTTCTTTAGAACATTATTGCTCTGTATTACATGTTACCTGCTACTCTAGATGCTGACCTCATCTGATTAGTTACTCTAGTTAATACGTTACCTTGGTAAACTTGTGAAAAATTGAAACTGATTGAAATGCATTCTTGTTAGGTAAGGAGAAGGAGTTCTATTACTTTTATGACCAGTGCTTTGAGGGCAAGGAGGGCAAGTATGTATCCCATCTCTCAAAAAAATTCAAACTTTTTTGTTTCATTTTATATTTGGTTAGGTTTACTGATTTTTGAATCATGATCCCTATTGGCAGGTATGTTTACAAGGTCTGTCCATACAAGAAAGCTTCACAGGTTGAAGGACACAGTTCCACTAACCTGGGGTGTGTTTCTTGCACTCCTTTAAGATTTAGTATATTTTTTGTTATTCCCTACTGTAATCCATTGATTAAACTTCATATTTAGTTTGGTCCACTACCACTATCATATTGATATGTTGTGGAAATTCTCACATTCATATTCACTATGGGAAAACACTGAGTAATGCTATTTAGTAAAACGCATTGTGTAGATTATTAACTGTGTTTTAGAGAGCACGAGCTGAGATCTTGTTCATTCTTCATCATTACCGTGATTACATTTTTCAGCACAATAGCTTGCGAAATAAACGTAGAATCTTGAAAGGTTGAGCTATAACCTGGCTGTTAATCTTGTAAACTGGATGAAGTTCTAGGGTTGATACTTGCACGTGAACAAGTAATGGTCGAAGACAATTCACTACATAGGCAATCCGGATAGCTTTCTTACTATGTAGGTTTGTGTATATAAGCAACTTTTTTCTGTGTTATATTACGTTACCATGTTTTCAAACGACTAATTCCATTCATGTTCTCTTAGGGATGCAATTTTAGGAATAGATTAGGGGAGTGCAATTTTGTTTTCAATGTGCTGTGTCTATCAGCATTGCTCTGCTTTACTGCCATTTTATCTTTGAACATGGACCATTTTCTAGAGAATTGCCTGCACAGTCCTGGCTGGTTTAGCTACCAACTAGCTTAGAGCTACTTGAAAGTTACTTGGAAGAAAATTATAGTTTCTATTTTCTCTTGTGTATGACGTTCACAAGCCTAAACATCCTATTCTGTGCATGGAAGCACACAAACATGCGTTTGCACTATGTTGTCATTCCTAGTGCAGTTAGTTATCTTGTGCCGTAAATGAAAATGGAAATTCTCTGTTGGTCAGGCGCTGGGACAAATTTGAAGAATCCTACAGGATGATGCACTTTTCAAGTGGAGACAAATGCTGGAATGGCCCTGACCGAAGCCTAAAGGTACTTGCTATTATTCAGGGTTGCATTCTCCTTAAGCACAGCTCTTTCCATTTGCATGTCTTAAAATATAACTGTGCGGCTTAACTTTTATGCAGGTCAGGCTTAGATGTGGGCTGAGCAACGAACTTAACGGTGTCGATGAGCCCAGCAGATGCGAGTGCGTAGTTTTTTTTTGTCATGATACACCTTTGATCTTTTTACCAAAATGCACATTATATCATGTTAATTATTTCTATGTCTGTTCCGATGGCGCAGGTACGTCGCTGTACTGTCAACTCCTGCAATGTGTGTTGAAGAGAAGCTGAAGGTTCTTTCTTGTCCCTATCACGAATGTGTTTTCTTTCTTTGCATTGAGGTTGGGAGCTAATGGAGTTTTGCTTTATATATATATATATATAACAATCTATAACAGGAGCTGCAACAGAAACTCGATGCTGTGGCTTCAGACCTGTCCGGCCACGACGAGCTCTAAACTGTCACTGGAAGCAATGACTCCACTATTACAACCATAACCATAAGAGAGAGGCTACCGAGGTACATGTTGGATAGATAGAAAAGCCTGGAGCTGTGAGTGTAGCCGCCAAAGCAGCTTTAGTCTGGCTAGGGAAAATTTTGAGCAAAGTGGTCGGATGGTTGAAATTTTCACACCATCCTGATTTTAGTAGCTGCAACTGGATATCTTTTTCTTTTGCTTTGACGGACGTTTCCTCAAATTGTTTATCTAGGTCATCTGAAAGAGACTAAGCCTTCTGTTTGTAACTTATCAGTTATGCACAGCGTCTCTGAATTATACGGACCAATGCTTTTATCGTGTGGAGTAATACTTTTACCTATACCTGCACATAAAATAATTAAGAAGAGTGGCTAGAAATTTGTAACCTTCACAGCTTGTCACGTTGCTTATTTCCCCCCCAAAAGAAAGGAAGCTTTGTGAGATAAAACACCGAATGTTGGATTTAATCTGCCAATCGGACGGGCAAGTGTGAGAAAAACCTCGAGGGCAAGTATGGATAGTTAAAGGCAAAACCTAACAAGTGACGTACATCGTACAATAGGTGCATTCTGATTCCGTAGATTGAAAGATGATGACACAATCATATAAAAAAAAATATCGTTTGCCCAAAATGAACAGAAATCGTGCTCTTACTGTCTAGTTTTTTTTTTTACACAGTAGAGACTCGGACGCTCATACATACGTACATATACTCACCTCTATGAACGCATTAATGCACATGATATCCCTATAAGCACCTGTGAGAGACCGAGCCGACACATCATCTTGAGATTGATGAAGTCGTCATAGACATTTTCGTAGTTGATGAGAACGTCTCCTTCCACTAAACATACATCGTCAAAAGATCTACAAATCTTAAAAAATGCGAGCACCAATGTCAAATGTTGGGCTTGAACCCTGGTGGACGGAGGATACTACTGTCCTCAGTGGCGGAGACCTAGGACAATTGGAACTATAGCCCTAGGCGTAATAACGATATCCTTTGCAATACTCCTATGTTCTTATACAATATACAAAACCACTAGAGTGTATCACTTAAACTAGCTTAGCTCTAGACGTAATCCGATGCTAGCTTCGTCCCTGCTTGTCCTTCTAACTATTCAACCAAGGTTGATTCGCCTGTTATCGTCTAGTTTTAAATGGTACATTTGGGTTAGTTGAAAGATGAAGTAATATCATTAAAAGTTGTACAACTTGCGCTTAATGTCTAGTTTAAAACTTATAAAATACGAAATTGTGGTCATATAACTTATCATCTCATGCAAATACGGCCATTTTGTCTGTATCATGTGCTTACGTGGCATGCCAGTGGGGCTATGGCCCACTGTCAATGACTCAAACAAATTGGTGCAAGAAATAAGAAATAAAAGAGTGTGGTAGGTTCGAACTCACGACTTCATTTACGTGAAGGCACTAGCGAACCACTCCACCGAACACAATTTCATGCATCCGTGGAGATACATTTACTCACTGAATACACATTTTTTTTCTCGATTCTCTTTTCCTTGGTTTTGCCAGAAAAATAGGTTTCCCAAAAATCATTTTTCGCTAGAAATTTTTAAATGAAATTTGATTTTAAAACATGCGTCAAAATGTATAATGTTTAGCCCAAAACGTACACAAACTTGTTCACGAGCAAGATTTTATTTTATTCCTTTTTTTTGGAAGGAGTTGCAAATTCTGGTTTTCGAAATATCTCGGCAATTCTTGGTTTTTTCACCCGAAATGTTGAAATAAATTTTGTTTTTAATGTATAAATATATTTAGTTTAACACATTACTTTAAATAAGTGTTTCCTGTACGGTGGTCAACCCAACTCCTTTCCTATAGAAAAGTCGCGAGTCGAATTCATTGTTGCGGCAACGAGAACAATATTTTAAATAACGTAATTTTCTAAAATGAGCGTGAATAACACAAAAAATATATGTACCAAAAGAGGGTCTGATATTGTATGTCCATATGAGGATTTAAGTTACGTTCATGTATTGTTAGACTAGTTTCTCTCATTTAAATTAGAAATTTCATGAAAATTTGGTTAGAGAAAGACGTGGTAATCTTCTGCCACCTCGACGCTGCCGAGCTCTCCACGATCAGCTCCCTGCTTGACCACTTTGGGGCTACCTCCGGCTTGCGCACCAACTTCGCTAAATGCCTAGCCACACCTATCTAGTGCCCTGACGACATCGATAGTTCCATTGGCGCTACTATTTGCCTGCCTTGTGAGGGCCTTCCCCATTCAGTATCTAGGCCTCCCTCTATCTCTTCAGAAAGTGCCGGCGTCCCACTTGTTGCCACTGATTGAGAAACTCTCCCGGAAGCTCGCTACCTGGAAAGCCGCGCTGCTCAACCGCGGCGAGCGCCTGGCCCTGGTCCGGCAAGTCTTGGGTGCCATGCCTGTGCACCTTCTCTTCGCCATGGCTCTTTCTCCCACCATCCTCAAGAAGGCCAATAGAATCCTCCGCGACTTCCTTTGGCATGGTCGCAATGACGTGTGCGCTGGCTCCTACCTGGTCAGCTGGGCGCGTGTCTGCCGTCCTCTTGACCTGGGAGGATTGGGGATTCGCGACCTCCACCACACCGGGATCTTGCTCCGCGTCCGCTGGCTTTGGCTCCAAGCTACTGACCCTTCGAGACCTTGGACTTATCTCCAGCTCCCGCGCGATCCCGAGGTTCTGCATTTTTTCCGAGCTTCCACGTCATGGACCATCGGCGATGGCACCACCTGCTGTTTCTGGCAAGACCCTTGGCTCGATGGCAAATCGCTCATGGTCACCGCCCCGCCCTGGTGGCTCTTGTTCCCCGACGCCTCCGACGCACCCGTACAGTCGCCTCCACTCTCTCTGATCGGCGCTGGATTTCTGACATCCAAGGTGCTTTAGGACCGGCCGCCACGGTGGAATACGTGGAAACCTGGCGCCGTGTACGGCACATTGTGCTGACCCCTCAATCTGACCGCATCCGCTGGCGCTGGACCGAGAACGGGGAGTACTCCGCCTCCTCCTGCTATAATGCACTCTTCCATGGCTCAACGACTTCCGAATTCTGGCAACTTGCCTGGCAAACTGGTGGTCCAACCTCCGTGCAGTTCTTCATCTGGCTCGCCTCCCTAAACCGCTGCTGGTCCACGGACCGGCTCGCCCGGCGTGGCCTGCCACACGAGCCGGAGTGCGTGCTATGCGCCCAGGAGCCCGAGACTCTGCGCCACCTCCTTGTGGGTTGCAGCTTCGCGCGCATTACCTGGCACGAAATCCTTTCATGGTGCTCCCCGACAACCAGAGCCCCGGACGGCTCTGTCGACTACTTTAGCTGGCTCTCCTCAACTCTTCTACTTACACCGAGTGCTTGGCGACGAGGGCTTGCCACTATCGCTGCGCTCACAGCATGGTCGATCTGGCGCCATCGAAACGCCGTCATCTTCGACAAGATCACACTGTCCACCCTGACTCTGATTCAAGCAATTAAGGACGAAGCTCGCTCCTGGGCCGCGACATGAGCTCGAGGAATGAACACACACGCGCTTGTAACATAGGACCTTAGTTTGCATTGGGGCTGAGCAACCCCATTCCCTCTACTCCACCGGGTGTCGCGGTCTCGCCATTCGTGTGTACGAGGCCACGGCACCCCTCCCCCCTAACTCTTTTTTTCCTATCAATGCAATGATACGCTGGCTCAGCGTACTTGAGAAAAAAAAAGAAAAAATATTTGGATATGAGTAGTCATCATTGTAAAAACATAAAATTCAGCATTTCTCATTTTGACCACATAAAGGTACTTGGTGTACTGGGTAGCTCATGTGCGCTGGTGTGTTATTAGGTGGTCATGGGTTTGAACCCATCAGCAGCAGCCTTTTTTTTAATTTGAGAGCCATTGTTCGTAATTAAATAAATTTGAGGGCTTTTGTGCAAAATAAAAAATGTGCATGGGTCGCCCAAAGTGATATCTGTCACTGACAACGGGCCCGTGCCTGTGTGACATGCCACGCCAATGGCGTATACGCTTGCAAATGGCCGGAGTGACTGTATTTACACCTAAACACAAGTTAAATCATCAGAAAAACATATTTTTAAAATTTTAGCACCAAACTGCACATCAAACACAAGTTCTTTCTGTGACTAGCAATGATATTACCTCTTGAAAGATCAACAAGACACTTCGAAACATAAGCTAACCTGAATTAATCACTTCAATAGATCAATTTATATTCTAAAAAAGGTCAGTTTACATTTAAAAAGGCGGAAAAAATTCAACTTACATTTATGGCATACTATGAACCACTCGCACGACTTATATAGCTGGACAAAAGGGAAATGCCCTTTAACAACTGGACTTTCAAGATGATTAGTCAACACAATTTTTCCATACCAGCATTATTTCAATTGTAGATCACAAGTACAAATCAAACAACTCAGAGTAAATTGCAAAAAACCACCACATTTGGGGACGCTAAAACATAAAACCACCACCTTTCATTTTTTTTCTTCAAAAAACCACCATGTTTGCGCTGACAGTTTTCAAATAGCACCGATTGAACGGTTTGGCGCGTCTGAGTGGAAAACTAACCGGCTGGGCCCGCTATCAGGCGCCACGTGGCCAGGGGAAGACGACGCCCGTGACTCGCGCCGTTAGACGGCGTCGCACCTGACCTAACGAGCCGGCCCGACCCAGCCCGACCCGTTCGTCCATTCCCCTCTCTCTCACCTTCGTCTCTGCCTGCGGCTCGTTCGCCACCGCCTTCGCTGTCCATTTGTCGCCGCCGGCCGCCGCAATGATGGTGTCCTGGAAGGACGAGAAACTAGTAGCGAAGATTCTGTGTCCCCCCTCTTCAACTCGCACGAGGACGAGACCTATGTGAGTATCATTTCTCTTTGACTTAGGGTTAAGGTTTTCTTCGATTTGAGCTTAGTTTTCACGAATTTGAGTTGGGATATTGAGCACTGTTGCACTATTGTAGATCCCAC